GAGATTGTAAAGTAACGATAGGAAATCTTAATATTGTATTCATCCTGATGGTCGGCACAGTTTTTTTAAAAATTTTCTGCCTCGCTTTATGTTTGAAATGTTTCACAATTATAAAATTTTAAAGTCAAGGAAATTTTTTTTTTAAGAGAGAGAGTTTTTTTTAGTATTTATTTTTTAGTTTTTGGTGGACACAACATCTTTATTTTATTTGTATGTGGTGCTGAGTATCGAACCCAGCTCCCCGCGCATGCCAGGCGAGCGTGTTACCGCTTGAGCCACATCCCCTAAAGTCAAGGAAATTTGCTACTTTTTTTTTTTCTGTCAAATGAACACGAAAGTAAAGAGAAGATGACAACTGAATTGAATAGAAAAAAGTCTGGAGCAGGACATGGCCAAGTTTTTCTGTAAAAGACCAGATAGTGTTTTTAACTTTGTGGGCATTATGGTCACTGTCTGCATTATGCTTTCTGCCTTTACAGCACAACAGTAGCTGTGGACAAAATGTAAATGAATGGGCATGGCCATGCTTTGATACAACTTTATTCACAATAAAGGGCCTCAGGTTAGGTTTGGCCTGTGGGCCATAATTTTCCTCAGTTTAGAGTTGCCAGGGAGGTAAGTGGTTTCAGCAGACAAGCAATCTTAGGCTACAAGGATGATCCAGGGGCCAAGGAACATTCACATTTATCTCTAGAGAGTTGATTAGGGAGCTAAACCAGTACCCTTACAGCCTCGGAATCAAAATCACAGAAGAAGTACTTTGGTTGTTGAAGCGATGGCAGTAGAAAATTCAAAAAAATATATACTTGGATGTTTAACATTGTTGGGGGTTTTGGTTTGGATCTTTTGTTTGTTTTTTAATGTGTTTTCACTTGGGTGGTAGGAGCAAGTTTATCCCAGAGTGCCTATGGATATTTAGACCTGGGTGCTTCCCTTTAATTTTCCAAGGATACTCTAGAATTCTTAGGTCACAGAAAATATTTCATCCCCTCCCTGACATTCACCACTTCTACACAGTCCAGTCCTGCCTTGGTCTGACTTCTAAAACACAGCAAGTTCACTGTGGCGGTGAGTTCATTGGCTTAACTGCACCAATGGCCTTTGCTCACTTGCATACACCTGTTGGGATAGATGATTCATCTCTGCTGTATCCTTTCCTAGAAATCAGCTTTCTTGCTCCAGGTCCTATTGTAGAGACCCTGTTCAGGTCTTCACATTTCTAGGAAGGGCTCATAGAGGGGGACTATGATTTCTCAGCTGCTTTGACCTGGCCAGTTCTTGTTCTTATATCTACAAAGGCCAGGTCCAAGGGCGTTCACTTAAGAGAAAAATGCTTCTACTACCTCTCTTTTTTGCACAATCAACTTTGGCCAACCCAGTCTGCTTAGGCCATCAGCATTTATAGTCCTGGCACCCCTTGCAAACTGAAAACATTGTCAAGCCAGAAGGACGGTTAATAAAGCCGACAGGATTTATTTATGAGTTTCTTCTCATACAAGCCAAACATAAGATGTGAGAGTAAAGTGAAGTATCCTCATGCTGTCATTACTGGCAGTTGTGGCAACATTCCTGAGAGCTTAATTGTATGCCAGCCATTTCTCTGAATAGCAAAGGGTGTCGGGACAGAGCAATTGAAGTGCCGAATTCAGGTCCTGGTCAGACCACTGGAAGGATGATTGGCAAACTGAAGGTAGAGGCATGGCACGTAAATTGTCTCCTTGGTGAACTCTCCACAAGCAAGGGCCAACAACAGCAGGTTCAATTACATCAATGTCCCTGAAGGAAAGAGGATATAATTGAATAATCATCATGGCAAACACCTCTTTCCTACTTACCTGTTCTGACAGTGAGCTGACACTGAGGTGAGGTGAGCTTACTGTGGCCATGTGTGAAGGAGAACAGAAATGAGATATAAGAAAGGAAAGAGAGAAGAGACTGACTTGGCCCCAGACACCTAGATTTTATCTGTCTCTTTTCCTTTCCTGAAAACTGGAGGTTTGCTTTCCTTCCTAGGTTCCTGTGAGACATGACTTCTAGGGACGTGTGCCAGATGTTTTGAAACCATTTTAAAGTGTTCAAAGAATGCGTGTTGTTAATCACCACATCTAATACTGTTGACACGGAGAGTTTTTGCCCCAGATTGATCTGAGCATGTTTCAGCTCTGCTCTCCCCGACAAGAATTAGAAGGTGTTGAATGAAAGCATGCCTTTTCGAGCCTATCAATGGTGCATGTGAGGCTGTTATTGGAACTAGGAGTTAAGGACCAGGCCGACTCTGTAAATCTTTCCTGGCTGGGACTCACAAACTTTTGGTTGTGTTTACTCAGAATGTTAATAATTTCGGAAATTATTAAAATGGAACCAAAATACTTTCTTTTTAAGAGGCTATTGAGATCACAAATCATTCTGCAAATATAATAAGCTGTGTAAGCTGAGTGAGTCCAAGACTCAATGCTTGCCATGGGTCTGCTGGAAGGGTGGCTATTTTCATATGACACTTCATGTATGGAACTAAGGAGACATGAGAAAAGCCCTTGAAAGACTTGGCCTTAAAATTTCAATAATTGTGTTGGAAAAAATATCTTTGAAGAAGGAAGGAAGGAAGGAAGGAAAGAGAGAGAAAAGATAGAATATTATCTGTGTTTCCCCTCCCCACCAAATTTTGTATTTCTTTTGCTCATTTTCATCCATACTACCTAACTCCAGTTGCTTTCAGCAGCAGCATCATGTTGAGGAATCCTATTCAGATTTTAAAAGGCTCTTTTAGTTGTTTCCTAGGCTCTTCCTGTTTCCTCTCTAACTACAACCAGTGGTTTTTCCTTGTACCTTCATATCCTGGGTGGCCACTGATGCCTATGTTAGTTAGCTTTCCTTTACTGGAACAAAACAGTTGGGATAACCAACTTAAAAAGGGGACAGGTTTATTCTGGTTCACAGTTTTGCAGGTTTCAGTCCATGAGTGCAACTACGCACTGCTTTTGCACCTGTGATGAGGCAGTACTTTATGGCAGGAGTGTGTGGCAGAGAAAATTGCTCCCCTCCTGACAATCATAATGCAAAGAGGAAGAGAGGAAGATACTGGGGTGCCACAATCTCCTTCAAGGACACACCCCCACTAGGTTCCAACTCTTAAAGTTTTAATCATTTTCACTAGTGCTAAGCTGGGAATCAAGGCTTTAATGCATAGGTCTTTGAGGGGCACTTAAGGACCAAACTATAATAGACACATACTGGAATTCACAAAGCCAATCACAGCGCTTACTCCAGAATCAGTACTTCATAAGTAGTTGATGTGCAAAGCTTATTGTGGCTTAGACTGGACATGTAACAATGGCACCAAGATATGTGCTCTTGGCAAGTTGTACAACCTCTCAATGTTCAATTTCCTCATTTATAATATAGGGAAAGCAATACTACCTATTTCATGGTGTTTTTTTGATTAAATGCATTAACACATGAAAGAAAATGTGTGTGTGATGTGTGGTTTTTTAATTTGTTTTAATTAGTTATACATGACAGTAGAATGCATTTATACACTTTGATATATCATACATAGATTAGATATAATTTCTCATTTTTCTGAGTGTACATGTCTGATGTGTTTTGAGAACCAAAAAATATTAGTTATTCTAATATTAGTAAATATACTAGCTTGTGATTTGAAGAATTTCTTATACTTAATATTAACTTTTAACCATTTCTATATGCTTGTGCCTGATACATATATATAATATAGATGTATAGATATATACACATATATATAAACATTTGTGTATACTTTTTTATTGTTACGGGTCTATGTTAAAGTGTGCACGTTAAGTGAATGGGAATTTATCAGTTTTACAAATGGCAAAAAAGAGAAGAAATTAATAAAGATGAAAATAATGATACTGAGAGGATTATGTTAGGAGTTACAGTTGTAAAATGAGATGGGAGACATCTCTTTTGCTGGGTTTTTGAGACTATTCGTGAAAATATAAAAATTAAAAATGTAAATTGAACTTTGAAGCCCATCTTTCACTTAAGTCAAACTTCAGTTTTCTCCCTACAAGGCACATTTTAGATAGAGGAAAAATAATTTCTCTCTAATTCCCATTTCTGTTGATTTTGTGTCACAGTCTCCTAATACCCAAACTGGAAAAAACAATCCATTCACTCAGGTAACTTTGCATTGGCATAATTTTAATGCAGACTTGAAATTTCTTAATTCACAAGTAGGAATTTCCACTATACAAATCTAATTTATGACTCATTTGACTGATTTGAACTTCTGTGTACTGATGTTAAATGCTAAATTTTATCTATTACTTATATGTAATAATGAACAGATATGTGACTATTCGTTTTTAGCCTATGTGTGTTTCTAACATTAATGCTTATTTTTAAGAAATTTGTGAACTTTCCTTTTACTTTTTACTTATTAATTTTTCTAATCATATCCATGTCTGTTGGTTAATATCGATGGCTCTGGATATAGATACCTGGCTCCAAATTCTGTGCCATTGCTCACTGGTTATGTAACCTTGAACAAATGATGGAACCTCTGTGGGCCTCAATGCATTACTAGCATGAAGTAGGAACACTAATACCACCTCCATTTTATGGCTGTTTTGAGGACCAAATGAGCTGTGCATGTAAACCCCTTTGAACAATATTGGCCCATTCTAAAACACAATAAATGTTTGAGTATTTACCATTATTGGTACTTCTGTGAACTGGCTTGAGTGTTTCTTGGCAGCATTTACTTTATTTCTGTAATTGTTCAACTTATGTTTTCTAACTGCATTATAAATTCATTACTTCCTTTGGGGCACTATTTATGGTAGTGTCATAGCTATCCTCAAGTGGACTGTTTAATGCTCCTCACTTTCAGCCATCCCTGGTCATCCTGCAGTCTGTCACCTTTCCTAAGAAACCCATAAAGCATTAAAAGGACAACATGGATTCTGCACTCTGTCGCCCTTCTCAACCAACCTCTCTAACTCTTTTCTCATTGCAGGATGTTCTGGAAGCTTTCTCTGTCCTTGTTCCTGGTGACTGTGTTGGTGAAGGTGGCAGAAGCCCGGAAGAACAGGCCTGTGGGTGCCATCCCCTCACCTTATAAGGACGGCAGCAGCAACAACTCAGAGAGATGGCATCACCAGATCAAGGAAGTGCTTGCCTCCAGCCAGGAGGCCCTGGTGGTCACCGAGCGCAAGTACCTCAAGAGTGACTGGTGCAAGACCCAGCCACTGAGGCAGACGGTGAGCGAGGAGGGCTGCCGCAGCCGCACCATCCTCAACCGCTTCTGCTATGGCCAGTGCAACTCCTTCTACATCCCGCGGCACGTGAAGAAAGAGGAGGAGTCCTTTCAGTCCTGCGCCTTCTGCAAGCCCCAGCGTGTCACCTCGGTCCTGGTGGAGCTCGAATGCCCCGGGCTGGATCCACCCTTTCGACTCAAAAAAATCCAGAAGGTGAAGCAGTGCCGATGCATGTCCGTGAACCTGAGCGACTCTGACAAGCAGTGAACGCCTGGGGCTGGACGCAGCTCAGCACTGCGCTGCGCGCCCTGGTCGCTGGGTCGTGTCGCCGCCGCTGCCTCGGTCCCTGTCCTCTGAGCTCACTCACACGCTGTCTAGTGTTCTCCCCTCAGCAGCAAGCACGTCTTTTGGGGCTGACGGTGTCCGTGTCACAAACGTGGAACGCAAGTGGAGCTTTGCTGATGTATTTCTGACTGACTCGGAGCCCTGCCTGGAGCTCCAGAACTAGCTTGTGGATCAGGCCCCGATGGAAAGATGCTGGAAACCTCTCCGCTAGCCCCAGCAGTCAGAGAGGACTTTAGTTGATGCATTGTAAATCCAGCATGGATGTTTCCACCATGTGGAAGCGAGTATTTCCCAGGCCTCATCCTACACTCCAGCTTGCCCCCTTTCCTTGTAAAGGGTGCATCACTCTTCTGAGCAGCCCCTCAAACTTCTCCTGCTGTTTTCCTGGACCTCTGGGGGTGGTGAGAATTCATTCTTGTGGTTTTGCTGCTGCTGTGATACTGATTTGGACAATGTCCTTAAAGGAGATGTCCAGGGCCAGAGGGGCTCCAAACAAACCCGAAACCAAGAAAACCACTGAGCCACTTGGATCAAGTGGGCTTTCCTGGGGACCTTGCTTTCAGCAGGCCACACCCTTCCAGGAGACATCACCACCTTTTCTTCCTTACTCCCCAGCCTCCATCAGTGGACTTGAGATGAACTCTAGTGTGCATGCTATTATCGCTGCAATTAGAATATTATCACACACAAGGTCTCTATATTAACGCTGGTTTTATAATTGACCTATATTGTAAAGAGCTGTTAAAAAGTATTATAGACCTATCATGTATTGTTTCACATGTTTTGACTCTGGCCTTGCAGCACCATTCTGAGTAGGGAGGACAGCAGGTGATGATCTGCCAAAAAGGTATTTTTTACTCAGACATAATGCCTGGTCAGCAATTCACTGTCGTGCACCTCTTTTAGATTGGGCAGGGAAATGGGCAGAATCATGCTTTTACTTTGAATATTATGTCACTGAAGGTACTAAAGCATTGCAGCACAATATAGAAATTAGGTTGGGGTGGATGGGTGTGGGGAGGGGAATTCATTGGGAAGTTATTAACTCAAAATCCCTTATGCATATGTGGGGTGACACAGGATGCTATTTTCACTGCCATAACATTAAGCAAAATTGTTTCCTGTTTAAAGATGTATTTAAGAATATAAGGAACTGGGTCACTTTGTGGTGCAGGAGGAAGTAAAGGATTAACATAAAGAATAGTAATATAGTTGAACTGTCCTACGGAAAATAACTAGTATCCCTTCCAAAGAATAGACTTTAAAAGTATGAGCAAACATTAGGTCACCTTTCATTTTTTCTAATGAATTGTCAAAGTTTCCATGTTGTGGTCTCTTGATATGAGGAAATTGACATAATTTATGCTCTCACAAAACTATACTCAGTTTGAATCTCTTTGCTAAATTTCCCCAGGAAGGCTTCCCTGTGAGTGATGTTTATGGAATCTGACAAATGTGAATGAGATGCCATTGGTGGGAATGAGCGTACTCTAAAAGCCTTTCTCTAATAATTTCTAAGCTAGTGTTCCAGCCAAAGGGTCAGTTTCCTAGTATATGAGTGAGACCCTCTACAAATTGCTCTGGAGACTGAAACTGACACTAGGCAGTAACAGTGGATCTAGAGTTTGTCACCTGGAGAACAAGGGTTGGGGTGGGGCGTAGCATGTTGGTGAATCTGTTTCCTGCTGCTGCACTGCAAGTTGTATATTTCTTTCACTTCCGTAACACCACAAAACCTGAGCACAGACTGTGCTATTATGAATGGGGTTTTGGCTTCAGAAGTGGGTAGCCCAAAATCAGGAAGCAGAAATAAAAAGAAATCATTGAGGGCTGGAACCCAGGGATGGCGATGAAAAGTAAAAAAGGTATCCACTGTCAGAATTGATTATTTTCATTTAGCAGAAAACCTCAAGTCAGACCCAGTGTAGAATATGCAGCAGAAAAACTGTGAAGAAAGGAAGCCCACATGATCCTAATGGAGGCTGATGGAGTGGAGTGGAAGGAGAGTGGAGGAGAGTCTCCAATACAACTGCCAAGTCAACCCCTATCGTTTTATTAATGCAGAGCCCCCACAGAAAGGGGGGAAGATTAAGCTAAGAACTCATAGAATAATAACCTGAGCACTCTTTTTGAACCCAGTTGTGGGTGTAGCAATGAAAGCAATATGATATGCTGCAGTGTGAAGCTCCTTCGGGGGGTTATTGTATGTATAAAGTTTACCTTATGCTGGCTCAAATTGTATTTAATTGTTTCTGTTTTGTTTTGTTTATAAATGAAGAAAAGCTATAAGTATAATGTAATTATTTTATAGGTATACTATTAAATTATAGAACAAATAAAGATTCTTTAGGATTATATATGATCCTGGTGTGATGTGCCATAAGAGTGGAATTTGGAATTTGTTTTAGTGAGCAACAAAGGGGTTCTGTGTTGTCCAGCCACGGTCAGTTCAATCCCTAGCCCATATCACATGATCCCCTTGGCAGCCTGGCATTTTCAAGGAGAATCAGAATGAGGCATTCAAGAAGCAGGGGTGGTAGAGGTGGCTTAGAGCTGGTCTTTGGGAACTTCCAAGCCTCTTCCTACCAGCTGAAGACAGAACTTTCTGGGTGTACTCTTTGAATAAGAAATGCTGAATGAGGAAGCCTTCAGAAACTTGCTGCAAATAAAAGTTCATTGTAAGACTTGTCTTCCTTTCTGTAATCAGTGCACCATACTTGTCTTTCACAAGCCAGTTGTCTTGAATTTTGTGCATCTTCACATTTACTTCTCATGGGTTTCAATAGTTCTTAATTCAAATACTTCTTAGTTTCACAGTGTCACTAATCAAACTATCTGCCATTCAAGAAACTCAATGATCAATAAAAAATAAAAACCTTCAGAAATTTGCACATGGTTGATTCACTGTATGAATTTAAAGGAATTAAATTTATAAGTATTTCCACCTAGTTGATTAAATGGAACAGACTATTCCACTTTAGCCTAAGGGTATTTCAATTCACTTGTTTCTGAAGTTGGCTGAATTTTAAGTTATGAGATCATTGACAATGAATTTTTACTATTTCATGAACAATTTAGAATGTGTTTATTTCTATAAATCTTATTTAAAGATTGATCTATCACCACTGATTAGTAATGTCTGCATGAGAGATAACAATGAAACAAAACCATAAACAATTAAAACTTATTGACCATCAAGTTATCTTCTGAATCCTCCTTAACCCCTCCCTATTCTTGCCAGCCCTCTCACAGGAGACAGCCCAGCCACTTTATCAAAATTGAAACATGAAAAACCTCACAGCTTTTGTTGTGTTTGTACCATGGGCATTTCTGGGTTACTGCCTTCTCTAGTATTCAGTGTAGAATATGTAGTAGAATAATCAAGCAAAACAAAAAAAAATCATTTTCTTATCATTCCCTCAGCCCTAAGATCCCTACCAGCAGGGATAGGGGAAATGTGTACTCCATCGTCTCTGGAATCACAAGTCTCCTGAATCTTTATAAGATTAATCACCTATTCTTTCTCACGCATGGTGTTGGTGCTTACCAAGACCTCTATTATACTTGCCCCATATCTTTCATCTGGTCTTACTAGATGATGTCAATTATATGGTGGGTCAGTGTAATGTTAAACAGAATGATCATAAAATACAGATCCTTCCGATCTATATTTTGATAAAGGATGTAAGAATGGAAAAAGACTGGAGACCAGACCATAAGTGTAAACTGTTGTCTATCCCATGGGAATGCAGACTGGTTCTGGTTCTGTTTCCTTATAGATATGGAAACACACACACACACACACACACATACACACAAAACAAAACTCACTTTCTCTCTCTCTCTCACACACACAAAAACTCTCTCTCTCTCTCTCTCTCTCTCTCTCACACACACACACACATACACACAAAACAAAATTCACTTTCTCTCTCTCTCTCTCTCTCTCTCTCTCTCTCTCTCTCAAACACACACACACACACACACACACACACACACACACACACAAAAAAAAACTCTCTCTCTCTCTCACACACACACACTTGCCAGATCACATGCTGGAGGTTATTTCAGTTGGTTCCAGCAAATAATTAACATTGAGGGCAGTAGCTTCAACCAGGGCTACTACCATTGCTGACATCTTTGGTTGTTTTTGCAGGAGACAGTATTGTGAAATAAAAGGAAATGTGACAGGGGCCACTACAATATTAAAGTCTTTGAAATTTTCATTGATTTTTCCCCCATTCCTTTTGGGATTCAGCTTTGGTTTTTAATTTATCCTTTTTGTTGGAGGCTTCTGAGCAAAAGGCTTCTGAGCATTCACTTGCCCCTTTCCACCACAATAGCTCTTGCCTAAGAGGTCAAAAATGAATGTGAGCGCTTTTAAACTACCAACAGTGTCCTTTCCAATTATGTATTTGGAAATGAGGGCATGTATTACCAAGTTGGTCCATGGAGCAGTGGGTCCACTGAGAACCAGACCTTGGGTAGGACTCTAGAAGTTCCTATATGCTTTTAATTTAGTAGGGATGAAACATGGTGGTTCATTTGGTCTCCAAGTAGTTGTGTTAATTCCAACCCAGTGTTCAGTATCACCAAAGTATTGAATATTAAGGTAAAACACATTGACCTGAATAAATGGTCCAAAGTTCCCAGGTTATGAAGTGGGAAGATAACAAAATAATAGATTTGCCTTCATATTGCAAGGTTTTTACTTAGGGGAACCAACCACCCTTTAAGTCAATGGGTTCCAGGTCTGCTGTGGAAACTGCACAAGGGATTTTACTTTTATTGTTACTGCCCTCTTCCTCTGATCATCTATCACTGATTTTTTTTTTGGGGGGGGGAGATACTGGGGATTGTACCCAGGGGTGCTTAACCACAGAGCCACATCCCTAGCCCTTTTTTTGGATTTTATTTCA